GTAGCTCATTAGTGGTTCACAGAGTTGATTTTCAACCACTAAATCGTGGTTTCGAACGCCGCCTTACCTAACGAGGTAAGAGTGGTCAGATAGTAGCATCATTAGCCCTCACACGATTGGCCTGACGCATTGCGTACTGAATCAATTTCCACCTTATTTGAATACCAGATGAGTACATTTTTGACAGAAAGATAGGTAGATACAATAATGCTAAAGCTCTCTAATCTCGTTATTCCACTTCGGAGGTTTCACTATCAGGTCAGAAAACTTCATCAACACTTCTTTATGCAGTAAATTCCAGTGAATTCACCTAGCTTGATGGCGTAAAGTTCTCAATCAAATATCTTAGCTGAAAGGAACATTTAAAAACAAAACAATTATGCAACGTACGGTTTGCAGGGATTTATTTATTGGTTTCGGGTTGGTATTCATCATGGAACACTGGATCCCTACTCATCAGCTCAGTGATAATATGCTGGTCGCAGCCCCCGAATGACCTGGGTTCGACCTCTGTTGGGGTCATGGGTGCATACTCCTGAGGATTCCCATACTAAGATGAGACAACTGTCCACTGCTGCTAGGTTTCTGATGACTTTCCAACTAATGTCGGTCCATGGTAAATAAAATCTGTTACAATTGTCAGTCTTCTTCTGGACTTCTGGTATCCAGTTTATTATCATGGTGGCTTCATGTAGCGTGATTGACCTCAGTAGTCATTACTCCGTTCCTCTAAGACTGTGCAAACCGCGTAATCTTGAGTCCAATTTTAATTAATCTCTTCACTTATTGTAATATTTTAAATCTAGAATCCCACATTAAGCTTACATTGCAACATCCCAGATACCATCAGTGTCCTTCTGATATCTCTATCGTTTCTAATCTTGAAAAATGTATAATCTTATTGAAAGAGTTTATTCCACAGTGTATAGAAAGACTAAATATATCATGGGAGAAGTACATTTGAACGAGACAAGTAGAATGACATAAATGAAAGGACAGCAAGTATGCGAAGCATAGTAAGTTTTGGAAGAGTGAATAAATAGGCGATGTGAGATCGTTTTCCAAAGAACTCATGTTATGCATTGTTTCCAACAGTCGACTTCTAAAGTCACAAAGACTTCAGCCTTGAAACTGACTGATTCTATGCTTTCATTTCATGTTCTTACAGGCTAACCTCAAGGATTATTTCTGATCATACTCACTAGTAGACAGGAAACTTGACAAGTTCATATATCACTGCTGAAACAACCAAGAAGGTTGAAGTGTTTTGGGTGAGAATATAGTTTTTCGTAAAATAAAGTAACGTAATTGGCTGTCTAAACGGTTCTTTGGATGACTTTTAAAGTCATTTCTTCATTCTTACCTCAGACTAGTTATTTGGTGACTTTAAAGGCCACTCTATCAACGACTGAAATAACCAGTCAGATATATGTATTTGATAAGTCTCCCTTTTGAGACGCAATGATGAAAAATATTTGGTTATTTTACTCATCGCTCGGATGACCCTTACAATTGCTCAGTTATTTTGCAACCACTGCTTCAACTAACACAGATATTTCCAATACAGCGAATGAAGCATCCTTTGAGTCAAATAACTTATCAGATTGTCTGATAAGAATACTCACGAATGATTGGCTAATTAACAACGGTATTAGCAAATTGTTTGTGTTACATACACATGCCCTTGAATGACGATGAAAGACACTCTCAAGGACACAAATGTATATGTGCGTGCATAATGCATATGCTACGCACCAGACACGAATATTGAAACTGTAAAATTGAACAGGTAAAAGTAGAGTAGGACATCATTGAACCAAAAACTGACCAGTTAATTCACCCATCAATGAATTGAAAAACTGAATTTGGACACATACATATAGTCAGTGTTTGTAGATGTACATGTTTATCTGTTGAATCTTTTGAGCAGAAGTTGACATCACAACATTATTCAGGAATATACACGCACATACATGATGAAACAAAAGTAAACACAGACATAAAAATACAGGTGACATGTCACAATCTCAGTACTTTTTATTAGTTATTCACAGAAAAATTTTGCTTATCATAGATAGTAAATACACAAAGGTTTTTCTTATTAAGACAGATTTCACCTATCTTTTTCTTGTTTTTGCTAAAAACTCCAAGTTGTAAGTCATCGTATTACCAAGGTCACTTCTGTGTTTGATCTATTATAAATCACACATCGACAGAAAACAGAGATATTTTAGGTGAGAAAAATGCTCGCTGGTATTTCTCGACTTTGTGATCCTTAAGTTTACCTCAGTGATAATGCCTTCTTGCACGATATCGTAATGTTCACCAGTATAAATAGTGTCATGCAAAAAAGGCTGCATAAAATACACTTAGGTCAGTCTAAGTCATAACAAATGAATGAATAAATAAATAGATAAATAAATGAGTCAATAAATGAAGGGATGAATGAATGAATGAATGAATAAATAAATAAATGAATAAATGAAGATGAATGAATGAATAAATGAATGAATGAATAAATGAAGGAATGAATGAATGAATAAATGGATGAATGAATGAATAAATGAATGAATGAATGAATGAATAAATGAATGAATTAACGAATGAATAAATAAATAAATGCTCAGAACGTCACTTGTTCTAATTGTTCTACAAACAGTACTTTCACTCAGATGGAATCAACAACCCTACTGAACCCCAGTCAGTTTGACAGTATGCTCCACATTCTTTATAGTTTACGATTTTCGTATGAATGAGATCAGACACAGGAAAAATCTAATCATACATACTTTAAGCATAAAGCAGGTATTGTGTAGATGTTGAATTCATTCCTGACTTCTGATTGTTCTAAAGGTCATCAATCTTTTTTTTTTGGTGGAGTGGTGGTGGTGATGATGATGAGGGAGGAAGGCATTTTTCATGTTATTAATCTCTAGTGTTACTGGAATCAACTCTAGTAAGTATACTTACATGTAATATAAACCATCTGTGTAAATATCACCTGACATAATTGATACTCTCCTTGACTAGCAGCTAGTTAAGTGCATCAATTTATCTGCTAAATATTTCCTATACATTATTCATTAAGTCAGTTTTGTTTTTGAAAATTTTTCTATAATTTTTCTGCAGTTTAACAATACTTGTAACTTAATCCAGAAGTAAATGCACGTAAAACAGATCCTACCACTTATCTGTGTAGATGGAATATTCGAGAGAAAAACAAGCCAATCTAATCATTAGAATTAACTTTTTTATACTTTCAATAAATGTGAATACGTTTCCAAAAATATTGTTGCGTAGACTTTGAATTCAATGTTTCAATAATTGTTTAAAAATAATATTGTTACATGTCAACATTATCGTGTGTGTGTATATACGTTGATTTCTCATTACATCTGAATGATTATTATTCATTCAACTGTAATGTTTCCATTGGAAACCAGTTTATCATCAAAAGCTGATGTTTGTGAGTTTCTTTAGGAGTTTAAGGTGGCTTTAATCAGTCATTTGCACACGAGTTTTATGGACATCACGTACAATAGTGTATGTATACTGTATGCATGAATTCATAACACTTAATATTTAGTAATATAATTTGCTCAGTATTACTGACAGGTAGTTTAATTAACCGGTTTCAATTAACATTAATACTTCAGAGAGACAATTACCTCTCTGATACCCGATCCATTATGACTGACCGAAGTTTATCGATCACTCATAGGCACTATGGACTAGGAAACTACATAAGTAAGTTGCTGGTTGCTAACTCATGGAAATAGTCCAGTCCTACAATGGGGGTCATTCGTATACTGAATAAGTTTGTGATTAAGTGGTACAGGTTAGGATCACTAAGGTAAACATCAGTTTCGTCATGGTTCTAAACATACTTTGTATTCATGCTATCGAAATAAGCTTGGCTTGTAGAAATCGTTGAAATATCGCTAATTCCCTCCCTCCCCAATAAATTCTGTTTTCATTGCTTTGCCTGTAATGTAACCATGTGCTTGGCGGCCAAAATCCACATCCTGGCTTATGTCTTGGTGTCGTCATCCTGTAATCACCAAAAAGTGATTATACGCGAAGCCTAAATGAATGAATATGAGAATACAACACTACAGGCTATCAGACTGATTCAGTGAAAATATTCAACGACAGACTACATTTATGAGTTAAATTGAAATTTTAAACAAATATGTGAGTAAAACAAAATAATCGCAATCTGACCTTGAGTTAACCAATAGGCAACCAAGGTTAATCCAGAGATTATTAGATAGTCAATAACTCGTCGCTAATCTATATTAGGCTATATTTCTATCTACCCTAACACAGAAGTAAATATTCGATCAATTTAAACTAAAACAAACCCACATGCAGTTTCAACACAGTTGCAGTGAGGGAGGTTACTAACATGAGTAACCTGCAGTGTTACTTTACAGTGACAAAAATGAAACTTATATGTCACAAAACTCAGTTATCTGGTGGAGTTAGTACCCACAACAACTGAGTAGCAGCTTACATATCCTATTACTTAGTTGCTTAGACTAAAGTAAGAGGTGGGTTTTGAACTCATGACTCAATGGTTCGTAGATGAATATCTGTACCATTGAGCTACAGTTTCAAAGTAATGTTCCTAAAGGCTTACTCAACAATTAGTAAAGTATCCAATCAGAGCTTTGTATTCTAGGAAAAACTAACTTTCCGGTAGGAATACAGAAATCTCATTGGTTGATTCGGTCGTTGTTAAGATGACGTTTAAATTCAATCTATCGATGGATTGTTGAGTGACTAATTCACGCATTTATTTTTGTGTCTTAGGTGTCAGATAACTTGAAACAATATTTTGCACATGTGTAATTGATAACTTGTTCATTCCATATTATCATGTGACATGTTTACTTTTATGAATATTTTTATGCTTATCTATTTACTGTTTTATCTCATAGTTTGTTTATTTATCACGATTGCTTTTTTTTCTCACTCCTTTTTTCTTCATTCCGTAGAGGAATAAAACAGAAATCAAAACAGACAGATCAATAAACTTTTTGGTTGACGAACTGAAGACGTTCCCTATACATTACATCAAGAAAATAATAACTGAACAGTGTGTTGACTGGCCATTGATTCGACTTCTGGGTAGAGAAAAACACCAACTCCAGACTATCTTTCATTCAAAGCAAGAAAATGAGGCTAGAAAGCTACTATTAAAGGTAAGATAAAAGTTCTGTTATGGATAATATTTCAAATGTAAAACTACAAATATCTCAAGGTGGTAGTTGCAGTTGACAAAACCAAATTTTGTACACGCCGGTTCCAACCCTGACATAATTTAGGTCTTATTTCAATTGCAGTGGAGATGAGTGTCATGATCAATGTTCTCTGAAAAGGCCAAATCGATAATCAACCAGTCAGTTAATTTCCCCTTGCTCTTGCTTCAACTAGGTTCCTAATGGGATAAAAAAAATCAACAGGATCAGGTAACAGTATCAATCATTTCTACTGACATTTACGATGAACTGTCTATGAATAAAGCAAATTTACCACCTGATCAGTGGTAACATTTGACTGTCTTATCCGTAGAAAGATGGTTGTATGTCCTAGGAGTCAATAGCTCGAATACTAAATTCAGTCACTCCCCTCATGTCCATTTCACACACTCGATGATTTTTTTCTGATGGCAGGTAGTGTAAAATTCATGCAAATAGACGCACTCAAGAGTTGAAGAAAGTTAGAAGACTGTTTGATCATCTCATAACAATATTTAGTGCTTTGATATTTAGCAATAATTTGTGCATAAATTGGGGCACATAGTCTAGGTGATTCAACAGCAAACAGCATGTATGCTGCCACAGTTAACAAACGGTGGAAATGGAAAATTCAATATGGCTGAATGTTAACTCATAACTTTGACCAATCAGATAACAGCAAACATCTAGACGTAAACAGACAGCCAATCAGAAGAAAGTAGGGAACTGTGCATCAATTATTCAGAAGTTATACGGTCAATTAACTGAGAAATATTAAAGGAATCACTAGAGGTTTTTAAAGAAGCATTCAGAGAACCAATGACTGTTTAGTGAGTCATATTTTAGAAAAACAGCCAAGGAGATTCGAAACGACTAGTAGGAAAATTTAAGCAATCACTAACATGATAGTTAAAGGAAATAACCAATCACCAATCACTTTGTCATACAGAGAAATCCTGACAGTTCACTTTACTCTGATAATGTTAGTGCTGATGATGTTATAGTGAAAGTTTCACTATCATATTTTCTATAAGTGCCTCTCTTTAGACTTACCCCTTGAGTAACAGAAAAACTCAAAAAAAGAAATAACTGAAACACTTTGAACATTGAATCAAGATGGTAGACGTGGAAGAGTGTCATTTCAAGATAGAATAACCAACTTTTGTACACATGTTAATCTAGCAAACTTTCAGTGAAGACTTCCCTTTGGAAATGCTTGATTCTCTTTACATGGAGCACTGCAGACAGCGCTAAATTCACTCAAGGTTATTACCTACCATCATGGATTAAAAGCTATACAACACACTGTAAAAGCAGCATCTGTTTATAGCTATCAAAGCGAAAACAAAAGAAGAGGGAAAATGATTAGGCAAAGAATTTCCTTATCGCCGAAACAATGTGAATTCTCTATATCGACATATTCATGAATGCATACAAGTAAATTCAAAAAAAAGAAAATGACTAGAAAGGCAAAATGTGTAAAGGTAATTAGAACAAAATATCCATTTCTTCTCCTTTTATTCTAACATTGAACAAGAAAAAAAGAGGTAAATCGGAATTGGTGGAAGGAATCTTCTCCGACATGTGTTTATACGCCTCTGTGTCTGTATGCTTGCGTGTATGAGTGTATGCTGGAACACATGCACGTGTATGCACACCATCATCATCATCAGCAGCAACAGAAGTAACAGCAGTAGCACCAGTAGCGTAGCATAATCAATAATTTGCTTAATTCAACATATGTTTAACACCTGTTCTTAAGTGAAATATTATGCACGCATAATTGTGGAAAAAAGGAGTTAAACTTTCAAAGCCTATCTATACATATAAATGTATATTTAGATATTGGTATCGTCGGACAGTTTGAATGGCAGTTATTAGATTCTTTGAATCAGCCATGAAACGACCGAAAACCTTCTCAAAATAGAATAAGGATTTGATTGGAATTGAGAGTCATTAGCAAAGCTACCTGTTTGCGTTCTTTTTAAACTCAGTAGAAAGAATGGATCCAGCATATTTCAGTATCAAGCTCGACAGACAGGTAGTTATCGTTCATAGCAGATATTCACAAATGAGTTCTATACACTAAGAACATTTTACAGTAAGACTTAATTACACATGGTTGCATCTAAATCATCACTGACACATTCCTCTGACTGAAGATATGAAGAAGATTTTTAATTGAAAAAAATTTCAAATTAACCATAAAACTTTAAAAATTGTAATATTCAGACTGAAAAGTATGCTACTTACAAGCAAACATATAAGTAGTATCTGGCGTGAGATCGAAGTGGGAGGGAAGTAATTGGGGTAGACATTCAATTGAATATTCATCAGCAGTGGCGTTGTTTTACACCCAATAGAGTGAATTTTTTGACACAGATCCAAAATATACTCGGATTACAAATTCGATGAAACAGCTCTTCTTCAAGCCTCCGAAATCACCAGTGCTTTATACAACTCTTCTTAGGTAGTCAGTAATAATCAATACAGCTTTTTTGGATGTTATAGCTGATGAATCCCCGTCCCTAACTGGCACATAAGCTCCTGCACAAATGTCTTAGTATTCGTGAGTAGTGGCTACCAGTGTTATTTAGGTGTGCTTCATCTTATTTGGGACTCGTCGGCTGGATGCACCTGTCAGTCAGTGAGTGATTTAGTTCCCACTAGAACGTAGTGAATAAATAACGCTCTAGGATTTGACGTGACGGTCCTGCTCTCTAGTCTTATCCGATCAACGTCACTTACTGAGAGGCAGATACATCCAGCTGACTACTGAGTTCTAAATAGGATGGAATGGTCGTCCTGGACTCCACTGCTAGTCACTATCTACCAACATTAACTAGTGGTGATGGGAATTTTATCTGATTTCAAGATGGAATTCATTAAGAACTGACATCACCCGGAGAACCACTGAAAACCCAAGAATGCTGGACATATGTTCCCACTTTGCATCAAATTCCTGGAAACCTTCGAACTAAAAGCACTTCAGACTACAGATAATGAGAATAATTTCGAATTACCATTTCTGAATTACTAAATATTTGCGTAATTATTTGGGTAGATACTGAAAATGGCAGACAAACTAAGCTTTTAGTAGAGTTTTCAGCTGAACCGTAGCCTTTTTATTCGGTCATTCATTTGCAGTAGCGGTACGGGAGATTTCATCCCACCTCTTCATCATCATTCATTATTCGCAATGTAACTAGAAAAAAGATCTAGATTTTATTATCATTATTATTATTTGTCCTTTGGGTTGCTGGTGGAACATAGGGCTTTTGTAGCACGCCTCCACTGCACTCTGTTCTCTGCTGTCTTTTCAACCTGGCTCCACGACTGCCCATAAGCGTTCATTTCTTCCTCAAATGATCTCCTCCATGTCACCCTCAGCTGGGACGCCCAACTCGTCGTTTCCCACATGGATTCCACTCGACGGCCTGCCCTAGTACGTGACGTCCCCAGTTGGCCTTCTAAGTTTATGCCCAATCCATCTCCACTTTCTTTTGTATATTCGTTGGGCGACAGGTTCTTGGTTAGTTCTTTACCAGCCAGCCACAGTTCCATGTTTCTTATTCTCTCTGGTCATCTGATCTTCATTATCGAGTGAGCGTAGCTGGCAGCTGTTGTTACATGTCTGCAGTCTGTTAGAAATGCTTTTCGGGACGCGCCGCCAAGTCTCTTAACCATCACATAAAAGCACTGACCTGACATTAGTATTGAAAATCCGGATCTTGTTCACGCTTTATGCTGAGTGCAGTGTAGTGCCTTTCGATCTCCACACTGATTTCAGATTGATGGCGGCTTGTCTTTTTGTCTCTTTGATCCTGGCTTTGGCAACCTCATGTGTGCCGCCTTCCCCTGTAGTTGAAACCATGCTGCCTTACCTAGGTCGATGAAAGAGACAACTTCCTTTAGATTCTCCTGTTAATAGTGATTGGTGCTTGTTGTTGTAAGCTGAGGATCTTCATCACCTCTGTCTTCTCTACGTTCATCTGAAGTCCGGTCTTCGCTAGCTCGCCTTGCCTCTCCTGCCAACTTGTTAACTTTCACCCGTAGATCTTCGAGTTTGTGCGACATTAGACATAAATCATCATCGGCGAAAGCCAAGTCTTCTTTGGAGTCTTTTCATCGGTCCAGTCAGCATACACCTTTCTCCTTGCTCCTCATAGTTTGTCTCATGATCCAGTCCACCACAAGATTCAGCAAGAAACCGTAATTGCGTAACGGCAGTCTCCAATACGATTTGAAGTCTACCAATCAGACTGTTCAGTAACTGAAGTAAGAGTTTGTTGGGGTGCTGTGATTTTGTTATAGACTGATATCAGTTGGAGAAATATTAAGAACATAGAAGAACTTAACAGCTGTTTCGTCCCAACTTAAGACGGAACAAGTGCAGAACTCTCACGTTTAGCGGAGAACGCATTGCCACTTAGTCAGTAGGTTATACTTACTACTAATCACTTATCCTCACTCTCAGGTTGGCGGTATGTCGAGGACTGATAGACATAGGAAAAAGGGAGGAGTGAATTTCAACCCGCCGGTTATATAATAATACGGTCAGTAAAAGACCTGACAGTCTGGGGTTCGATTCCTAATAAGGTTGTAGGTATGCACTGTTGAAGTTCCTAAGATGGTAGGAAACAGCAATTCAATGCACACAAGTGGCTATAGCCCTATAATCTCTTAGATCCGTCGTGAAAACTACCTTCAAAGCCATTAAGTAGTTTCAATAAACCAACTTACAGCGCTAGTTATGATGCTATAT